TGAATAAAATTTTTTAGAAGTTACATTTTTAGGAACCCCTTGTTATTAAGCCTTTTGCTTAAAAGGGTCCCAATCCTCCAGCCAGCCACTAGCCTTTGCAATATTGTATGCCTTAGGTTTTGTCTTTATGTTATCTTTAACTTCCTTATTAGCCATGGATATCTCCCTCCCCCAACCATCATTTTTTGGCTTTGGAATCTACTTCAGCTGGGAGGAATTAAATATCTCCTTAAATGTCTGCCACTGTTCATTAACTGTCCTACCTTTTAGTTTTCCTGCCTAGTCCACTAGGGTCAAATCTGGCCTCATCCCTATGAGATTTCTTTGTTTCATACTAGAACAGTAGTGTGGGACTCCAGTTTGTCGTCCTCAAACTGAACTTGAAATTCCAGCATGCTATGTTCTCTCTGCCCTAGAGGGTCCTTTACAACGAGATTAATTAAGCCCACTCATTACACAGTACTAAATCTAAAATAGCCTGCCCTCTTGGGTTGCTTCCCCAACATATTGCTCCAAATAAAAAAACCTAATACATTTATGCATTCATCCAACAGGCTACCCTTGCCAGTTTGATTAATCTAGCCTACATGCAAATTACAACCACTTATGATCATTGTCATGTTTCTCACAAGCCTTCAGTATTTCCTGGTTTATACCGTGTCCTTCTGGGGAACTACTGTTCAGGAAACTGTAGAGTACTCCCACCAGGGACCTCCTCCGTTTTTTCTTCCCAGACTGATCCTACGTCTTGATCTCCAGTACCAAAATAATTTCAAACTACAGCATTAATCTCTTCCTTTACTACCAAACGTACACCACCTCTTTTTCCTTTCTCTGCATCCTTCACTTGGATCTTCAACTACCAGTTCGGGTCTCACGGCAACCCAATCTGAGGAACTGCCACCAAATCATACCAGTTTTTTTAAAAATCTCTATTTGCACTCTTAATTTTATTCTTGAATGCTACGCGTATGCGAATACAAAGGCTTTATGTTTGTCCTATTTTCAGTCTTCCATACTCGAATGATTATTTGTTGCAATATAATGTTCACGTGGTCTGTCCGATGTTCCTCCGAAGCTGTAGTCTGCAAGGCTCAGTGCAAGGCGATCAGCGTCAGCATACCAATCAAAGGCACAGACTTCCAGCCTTTCATTTTCTGGAAACAATCAATCAATCTCATCACTAACCTGCACACCTACCTTGTTCTTATACTTTGAAGTTTCTAATTTTCTATGCAATTGAACCCTCTTCCCATTATTTTGCTTAAAGCCCTAGTTATGTGACTCACCAGGTCTTTACTCTGAGCATGATTCAAGTGAAGCCCATCCAACAGAACAGTTGTCTCCTTCCCCAGTCTTGGGCGGAGGTCCCATGAATTTGAATCCATTTAAACTACACCAAACTTTGAGTTACACATTTACCTCTTTACCTTGTGCCAATTAACTCCTGGTTCAGGCATCCAGAGATTCTTACCTCTGTCGTTCTGCTTTTTAAATTTAGCAGTTAGCTGCTCATATTCCCTCAGCAGAGCTTCTTTCATCATTCTGCTTACATAATTGGTCCCTCTGATTAAAGGTACATTTTTTTCCTCCCCCCACCCCACTTAAATGATTCCATGTACCACAGTGCTATGGTCAGATTGCTCATCCTCCCAACAGTCCCCACACTCATCCAGACAGAGGGCAAGAAACTCAAACCTGTTGACCAAGATAAGGATTGAGTCTCCTGAAGTGCTACCTCCTGGAAACCTCGACCTGCCTAATTCATCATTACACCCTGACCAATGACCAAACTGGGGTATTTAATCAAAAGGTGTGACATCTTCCTGAAACATTGCGTCCAGGTGTGTTCCCCTTCCCTGATTCACAGTATCCTAAACCCAGACTCCAGCTCATCAATTCAGAGTTGAAATTCATCAATCAACCAACCAACACTTGCTACAGATATTGGCATTATGAACCTCAACAGGCTTCACCCACTCCTATGTGTTGCAACCGTCTGGTCCCGTCTCTTTATTTTATTGAGTTGGATTGCAATTTGTTTCTTAAATTACTACAGGTCTTTAGTTTTCAATCTGTACATACATTTTTCCTGTTGGGTCTTTAAACTGAAAGCTAGTCAGTATAGGTAGCAGAGAAAGATACTCACCTCCCAAGGGTCCAATAACATTGTTACATTTGGGGTTCTTCGAATGGTGAGTGTTAACCAAATCAAAAAGAATTACTCATAACGTTAATGAGCATATGAAGTCTATTAATCTCTCATCCAGATCTGCTACCTCAAGTTATAGGGCTGTGAACTGACGTGCTTGGCGGAGTTTTTACTCAATGGTCATACCCTGACTCTTGAGGATAACACCGAGTCAGTGTCTCCTAGAGTACAACAATTACAGGTCATCACAGCCGCTCCCATTCTCAATGCGTACCAAAACATTAACCACGTGATCTGTCTCATCAAGATGGAGGCACAGTAGGACGCTCCATTCAGAACTTGTCTGCTCACTAGTACCTTTACCTTTATTCCATTTTCTTCCTCTTGTGGTTTCCCCTCTCTCTCCACCTCTCCTCCCCCAGAGAGTGGAGTTGCAGAGTGGGTGCGGAATCAGCCCTACACAGAACTGGAGTGGACACGAGCTGAGCCCCGCAGAAACCCACGGCAGACAGAAGAGAGCAGGGACCAAGTCCCAGTGGAACCAGCACAGACAACGTGGCCTGCAAGCGCCCCCAGAACAGCACGAGCAGTGATCCCTGGAGCAGCACGTGGGCTGAGAGTCCAGAGCAGCGCAGGGAAAGAGCCCCACAGCAGCACATGGGAAGCAGCCCCAGAGAAGCATGCAGGCAGTGAATCCTGGATGGAGACCGGTGTGAGGGGACAATCCTTACCTTAGGACACTAATGTTAACCCTTCAATATTTCCCTATTTTAAACTTATTCTCAAGTCTCCAATTAAGCAACTACTTCTGTTCCTCTGCTATATCCAAGAATTGTACCTAGGTACTTGTACCCAAGATATTGCCATAAGGTAGATATTGTAAAGAGTTTTTCACCTTACTCCCACAATGGAGTACACATGACAATAGAAGTATATTCTATTGTGTTGCATTTCCTTTTCCTGATTCTCACATTTTCCGAGGGGTTGTTTTCCCTGAACTGATACACTTTGGTCAAGTCAGTGATTTCTTTCGACACACCATTATTCTGCTGCATGCACAAGAATATGTTCAAACTGACATCACACAGGCACATCCCTGATTATCCAATCAGCTGTTATAAAGTGGATGTTGACCCCCCCCCCCCATAACTAAAACCAAACACCAAGAGAGGCTCATCTCACCCTATAATTTGTTAAGAAAAAAGTGGTATAACCTGCCTCTCACACAGAATCTGTTATAAAGGAGTTGTTAAATGAAAAACTCCTAACGCTCACTCTATAAAATCAACAAGTAACAATTTATTTATCTAACTCACAGTTAACTAAACTAGTAACAAACCAAACAATTTTCCTCTAACTACTTATGATTCCTAAATAAAACAAAATTCTAATGATATGCTGTTCCAATTAATACAAGGCCCACTTATATAAACAAAAATAAAAAATGAGAACATAGTCCCTCAAAATTACAGCCAGGGTATGTCTTCCAGAATGTTCTGTGCTTTCTCCATTGATCTTCAACCAGGAACTCCTTCTCCTTCCAATTCTTGTGTCAGGACTATTAGCTAAGAATGCAGCAGTACCTTTATTTAAATGATGCTTTCTCTAAGAGATCAGCTCTTATCCAATGGCAATTGGTTCTTTGCACCTGTCCCTGACATTTATACCCTTGATGACATATCAATTTCTTACAACATGATTGGTCCTATGTTGTCAAAACCATCAGATTTAAATTTAATTGCTTTATTGCCTCTAAGTACCTGAATTAAATTAATTGGCTAAATTCAAATTTGTTATCTGGATAACAAAACAAAACTGTGGCTTGGGCTGCTAACTATACAGCCTTTGATACAAATGTTTCAATTCAGGTGCCCTCTGTGCACCTGCAAACCAACAAGCTGCTGCCTGCAGATTTCTTAAAATCTCCAAGCCTAGAAAAAATACATCATCTTTTAAAGAAACCACATACTTGCCCCCCCATCTCTTTGCAAATACCAAATTCTAATGTCTTGCATTTCAATCCACAAGTACTCTACCCAACTTCGCAACAGAACACTCTGACCGGGTAAGAAATCAGAACACTAAAAGGTGAACCAATCAGGGCAGTGAAAAGATGTCTAATGTCAAAGTGAGTTTGAGAATGAAATGTGATCAATATTTATTACAAAACCAGTGATAACAGAAAACGTTGGTTGAAAAATAGTCAGATCCTGCACCATTTCTCAAGACGTAGTTCGATTTGAATAATTCAGAACAATTTGTTCTCGTGTGCCACTTTATCCTGTGACCTTACTCATATTCATTTGCTGATCCCACTACTATCCGTTACCTCTGCCTCGGGTGTACACATTCGAGGATATACATCCCACATTGAAGTTTTCAGTTTGGAAGCCTCTTGAGGATGAAAAATGCTATTCCCACACTAGAAATCTCCGTCAAACATTTACCAGGGAAACTGAGACAGAAGCTCAATATGAGGTTTTATTTAGATGGGAAAATAACAAGTTCTGCCCAAGCTTCAGGAAACTCATGTTGCTGCAGAAATATTTGGATTGACTGTGAGAGACGTCAATCAGAGAGCCCACCCACTCTGCCCATTCTCTCCTCTTCCTCTTCCAGAGCTGGTTCACTTCCTATAGGGACTGAAAACCAAGTGAGGAGATGGTGAGTGAAGGAGCAGCTTTTATACAAATTATATCCCATAATATCCACACCAATCTTCAGGCAGTCTGACTATCCTGTGGGCAATCAGGGGTGGAAATGTCCCTTATGCTGTGTGAGAAGATCCAGCTGAGAGAGCTGTTTACTCGGTGCTTTGTGCTGAACTGTTTGACTGGAGCTGTGTGTTGGATATTGAGTGTGTTTATTGGAAGCATTTCCCTTCTGATTTCCAGCCTTGTGTTGATGGCTCATCCTTGAAAATGAGAAGGTGAGGTGTCATGATCTGGGAGGTGCAGAGTGTCAGAGGATTCTCACTGATTTGCTGTTGTTCTTTCTGTGTGTGTGTTGGGAGCTGGTTATTATCCTGTGGACTGTGAGTTGATTAATTGTTGAAGAAGAAGAGGGGAGAAAGGGCAAACGAGATGTTTCTCACAACCCACCTAAATACTACTGGAGGAGTAGAAGCAGCCTTTTGAATTATTGTCTCTGCCTGTTCATGATAGTTTCATGCGATCTGTGAGCAGACATCTATTTGAACCTTCTCTGTTTAATAGTTACTTCCCACTTTCCTGAATAACATTCAGCAAGTTGCACCACCCAGGACTGAATGGCTCACATGATTAGCAGCTCATCCATCACCTTCAACATTAATTCATTTCATACCAATAGTAGCAGCAGTGTACCAGCTATAAGATGCACTGCAGCATCCATTAAAGCTCCTTCCAAACACACAACTTCTACCAATATACTTTTAAAATTACATTAGGGCCAAGAGGATAACCAGGAAAGAGTATGGCCCATTTGAGATGAAAGGTGCAATCTGGAGCCAGGTGATGTTTTAAAGGTTTTAAATAAATGCATTGCATTTGTATTCACATTTAGAGACGGACAATGTAGATGTCAGGGTCAGAATTCAGGGTGGGGGTGCTGTGATGTGGTTAAACAAATTCATATTGATAGTGAGGAGGTATTAGCAGTTTTAGCAGCCTCAAAAGTGGACAAACCCCAGGCCCAGATATGATATATCCCAGGCTGCAGTGGGAGTCAGGGGGGAAAATTGCAGGGGCTCTGGCATTAATTCTGAAATCCTCTCTGGTCACAGGAGAGACACTAGAGTACTGGTGGGTGTTGCAAGGAGATCATAGCTGGGTACTAAATATTCAACCTTAGGCAACTTTTCCAAGGAAGAAAAAAAGTGGTACAGTAGCATTGTTGGTATGGGAAAGAATAAGTACAATAACAAGAAACAATCTTGGATTCAAAGATGCAGAATCTGCATGGGTGGAGGTGAGAAATAAAAAAGGAAATAAAAGCACTGGTAGGAGTAATTTATAGGACCCCTAGTAATAGCTATACAGTACAACAGAGCATCAATCGAAAGATAACAAAGGCATGTAACAAATGCAATACATTAAACATGGATGACTTTAATCTTCATGCAGATTGGGATGCTTCGGATGCCATAAGGAAGAATTCACAGAGTGTAATCAGGACTGTTTCCCAGAACAATATGTAGTCAATTCAATGAGGGGTCGGGCTATTTCGGATCTGGTGATCTGTAACGAGACAGGCTTAATAAATGATGCCAGGGTAAATGATCCCGTAGGAAACAGTGACTGTAACATGGTGGAATTTCATATTCAGTTTGAGTGGGAGGACCTTCGATCAGCAACAACTGTGCTAAGCTTAAAAAAGGCTAATTGTCAAGGAATGAGGGCAGAGCTGGCTGGAGTGGACTGGGAAAGGAGTTTAGCAGCAAAGACGTCAGAGGAACGATAACAGTTGATGAAGAAAGTAGTTAATGGCTTTTCCTCGTGGCGTCAGTGAGGAAGAAGGATTCTAGTAAGCAGATAAGCCAGACATGGTTAACCAGGGCAGTTAAGGATAGCAAAACATTGAAAGAAAAAAATAAACAATGTGGCAAAGACTACTAGTAAGCCAAAGGTCTTAAAAAAACCAACAAAAGATGACCAAAAAAAAAGATGTAGAACGTAAACTTTGAGGGTAAACTTGTGAGTAATATCAACACATACAGTAGCTTATTTAAGTGTATAAAAAGGAAGAGAGAAGCCAAAGTGAAAATATGCACCTTAAAGAACAAGGCTGGGGAAGTATCATGGGGGACCAGAAAATGGCAAAGAAGTTGAATAAATACTTTGCATCAGTCTTGACAGTAGAAGACATTTATAGTTTTCCAACATTACTGAATAAGCAAGGGGCAAGAGGAGGAGAGGAAATAAGTACAATAACTATCACTGGAGAAGAAGTGCTAGGGAAACTAATCAGGCCAAACTTTGATAAGTCCCCTAGACCTGATTAGATACATCTTAGGACATTAAAGGAAGTAGCTACAGAGATAATAGAAGCACTAAAATAATTTTCCAATAATTGTTAGTTTGTGGTAAAGTCCCAGAGGATTGGAAAACTGCTCTTGTAATACCTTTATTTAAAAAGAGATGGAAATATAAAGCAGTTAACAATAGGCCAGTTAGCTTAATGTCTGTTATTGGGTGAATGTAACTTAATGTTTGTTATTGGGAAAATGTCAGAGTCTATTAAGAAGGATGTAATAGCATTTATTTAAACATACATAATATGATCAAGCAGAGTTATCATGACTTCATGAAGGGGAAAACATGCCTGACAAATTTACTAGATTTTTTTAAGGAGATAATTAGCAGGATAAATAAAGGGAAAGCGGTGGATGCAATATATTTGGATTTTCAAAAGGCATTTGAGATGGTAGCACACATACTGAAAAAGATAAGAGCAGATGATGATGGAGATAGTATATTAGCATGGATAGATGACTGGCTAACTAATAGAAAATGGAGAGTTGTGATAAGGGGAGCATTTTCAGATGGCTCCCGTAACTAGAGGACTGCCACAAAAATCAGAGCTGGGGCCACAATTATTTCCTATATATGTTATAACATGACTTGGATGAAGAAAGTGAATGCACTAAATTCAAGTTTGTGGATGGCACCAAAGTTGATGGGAAGGGAAGTTGTGAGGATGATACAAAAAGTCTTTAAATGGATAGAGACAGTTTAACGGGATGCACAAAAACTTGGTAGATGGAATATAATGTGGGAAAATGTGAGATTAAGCACTTTGACAGGAAGAATAGAGGAGCTAAACATTAATTAAATGGAGAATGACTACGGAAAACTACAGAACAGAGGGATTTGGGATTTCTTGTCCATGATTGACAAAATGTTTGCACCCAAGTTCAGGTATTAGGGAAGGGAAATTATATCTTGGCCTTTATTTCAAAGGCATTGGAGTACAAGAGTAGGAGGTTTTGCTGAAAATGTACAAGGCATTAATGAGACAACAGCTGGGAGACTGAACAGTTTGGGTCCCTAATCTAAGTAATGATGTACTGGTTGGAGGCGGTTCAGAGAAGATTCACTGGGCAGATAACAGGTTTGAAGGGACTGTCGTATGAGGAGAGGTTAAGTAGGTTGGGCATGTACTTATTGGAATCTAGAAGAATGAGAAGCGACTTTATTGAAACGTTCAAGATTCTTGAGACATTTGACAGGGTAGATCAGGAAAGGTTGTTTCCCCTTGTGGGTAGTCTATAACTAGAGGAAATAATCTCAGAATAAGAGGACTCACATTTAAGACAGAGATGAGGAGGAATTTCTGCTCTCAAAGGATAGTGAAAATGTAGAATTCTTTCTCACAGAAGGATATCGAGATTGGATCTCAAAAGAGAGTATTCAGGTTGAGATCGGTAAGGGAATTTTTTTAATCAGCCAAGAATCAAAGCTTGTACGGAAAAGGCAGGAAAATGGAGCTGAGGATTATCAGATCAGCATGATCTCATTGAATGGCAGAGCAGACCCGATGGGCTAAATGCCCTACTTTGGCTCCTGTGTCTTATGGTGTGATGTGGTACTATTATTTAGTAAGAATGGTAGAGATAAACCAGGGAATGACAGGCCAGTGTGTCCTATATCAGTGGTAGGGGAACAACTGGAAAAAATTCTGAGGGACCGAATTAATCTCCACCCAAAGAGGCAAGGATTAATCAAGTGTAGTAAGCATGACTTTCTCAGGGGAGATCATGTCTAACAAATTTGCTTGAATTTCTCAAGGAGGTGAATTGGTGTATAGATGAGGTTGGTGAAGTTGCTAAAGCCTATATGGAATTCAGAAAGGCTTTTGACAAGGTTTCACAAGGGAGATTGGCGAAAGAGGTAAGAATGTGTGGGATCCTTATCGTTGGATTGGTCACAGAACAGGGAGCAAATAGAATTTAATTCTGAATAGTGTGATGTGATGAGTTTTAGGTGGACGAACAAGGCAAGGGAGCACGTGATGAGTGGTAGGTCTCCAGGAAGTACAGAGAGACATTGGTATGGGTGTCCATGGATCCTTGAGGGCAGCAGGACAGGTAGATAATGTAGTTAAGAAGGCAAACAGGATACTTGACAACAAGGTGCAGAGCTGGATGAACACAGCAGGCCAAGCAGCATCATAGGAGCAGAAAGGCTGACGTTTCGGGCCTAGACCCTTCATCAGAAAAAAAAACAAAAAAAAAACGGGATACTTGCCTTTACAAGTTAAAGTATTGACAAAAGAATTTGGGAGGTTATAGTGAAGCTGTACAAGGTTGGTTAGGTTGGACTGATGTGTCCAGGTCTTATTGCCACAATACTGGAAGGATGTAATTGCATAAGAGAGAGTGCTGAAGAGATTCACCAGATGTTGCCTGGGCTGGAGTGTTTCAGCTATGAGGAGAGACCAAACAGGCTGAGGGGCTGGGGGCACCTGATCATGGTGTACAGGTTAATAGGGACCATAGATAGACTGCATCCCTTTATAGAGGGCTCAGTAATCAGGGGTCATAGATTTAAGGGAAGGGGAAGAGGCTTTATAAGAGATTTGAGACTCTAAAATTTTCACCAGAGGATGAGAAATAGCTAGAATTCACTGCTTGAAAGAATGTTGGAGGTGGAAGTCTTCACAGTATTCAAGAAGTTCTGAGATGAACACTTGAAATGTCACAACAGAGGAGGATACAGGCCAAGTGCTGGAAAATATGATTTGAGCAGATAGCTGCTTGATGAGTAAAACAGGCACAATGGGCCAAAGCTCGTCTTTCTGTGCTGTAAATCTCTTTGACTCAAACAAAGGCAGCTGAGAACCAATACACCATTCTGACTTGGAACTATATCAATATTCTTTTGCTATTGTTGGGCAAAGTCCTGTCACTCCCTTCTGACCGACACAGTAGATAAAGCTACACCTGAAGCCCAATTAACTGTCATGGTTCAAGAAGGCAGCTCAGCACGAGGGCATTGAGGGATGGGCACAAATGCTGACCAAGCTAGTGACCCCAACATTCTCTAAAAGTAAGAATGAAAAAGAACTGAGGAGTCAGCCCCTTCAGCAAAGTAGGAGAGGGAGTTGGAGGAAATCATATTTCCTTTTCCTGTTTTCCAGAAGATTGCACCGTACTACAGCAGAGAATACAGAGAGGATAGACACCGCAGAAAGCTCCTGATCATCACCCAAGGAACAACATTGCTGAACACAGAGAAGGTTGGGCAGTGAACCATCATTTGGAAATCAGTTGGATAAGGGGAGCTTTGACATATCATGAACCACTCTCTCATTCCTGCAGGTGTGAGGCTGTTTAAAAGAGAGGTCTGTGAGGAGGGTTACCCAACCTTGTAAGGGTTCAGTACAGACTGGGTGCAGCTGCCTTACAACTGTTAACACAAGGGCAGCTAAATGGAAGAGAAACCATTTAAGTGTGAGGTTTGTGATCGAGCTTTTGCAAGGCCATTGACGCTCAAAAATCACCGACGCATTCACACTGGGGAGAAGCCATTTAAATGTGAGGTTTGTAACAAGGGATTCACACAGTTATCAGGCCTGGTGAAACACCGGCCCATTCACACGGGAGAGAAACCATTCAGATGTGAGGTTTGTAACAAATCTTTCTCACAATCATCCAGCCTCCTTGTACACCAACGCATTCATACAGGAGAGAAACCATTCAGGTGTGAGGTGTGTGATAAAGCATTCTCAACGTTGGCGGAACTTCGTAAACACCAACGCATTCACACAGGAGAGAGACCGTTCACGTGTGAGGTGTGTGACAAATCATTCTCGCAATCATCGACCTTCCATACACACCAACGTATTCACACTGGTGAAAAACCATTCAGGTGTAAGGTGTGTGATAAATCGTTTTCACGATCAGGGAACCTCTATGCACACCAACGCATTCATACAGGGGAGAAACCATTTACATGTGAGGTTTGTGACAAATCATTCTCGAGGTCATGGAGCCTTCTCCTCCATCAGAGAATCCACAAAGGGGAGTAACCCTTTGAGTGATGTTTGTTTGCGATGAACATTTTGCTATGACTTTGGAAAAGCACAGAATTCATACGGTAGAACTGTTCAGGTGCAACATTTGTGACAAAGCTTTCCCATAGAAGTGTATGTCCCTGACTGTCAATGCACTAACACAGAAGGTAGTTTGTCGCTGTTAATTCTGTAATAAAACCTTCACAGAGTTGTTGAAATTGCTGGAATATCAGTGAACCTACACAAAATCCTGCCAGTCTGTTATCTGAGTGTTTACCTGCACACAGTCTCACGGTGCAGGGTGTTCAGTGGGACTGGGAACAGAACAAGAAGCAGCTTTCACTCCCATCAAACACCTAGTGATGACATCACCAGTGCTGAGGGATTATGATGTCAACAATGGAGCCACCATGCAGTGTGATGTCAGTGACACAGGACTTGGAGCATCCCCCATACAGTGAGGGTAACCCGTTGTGTTTTTATCCAGAGAGTTAACACACTGAACACTACTGTACACAGATTGAGAAAGAGAGCATGGCTATTTGTTTGTGAAGATTTCTCCCAGCACCTATTTTTGAGAGAGCGGACAATGGTGGAGTCTGACCACAAGCCAATTCAAAGCATCTTTTTCACTGCAGGTGTTCTGATTCGTTGTTTGATGGGAGTGAAAGTAGCTTTTTGTTCTGTGCCCAATACCACTGAAAATCCTGATCTGACATAGAGATTTACAAGATGACAAATCATCTGCTCCATAGGATCTGCACAGGATGTTATTTTGTTTGTAGAGGTATCATTTGGAAGTAAAGCACCAGGGAGCAGATAGATATTGCTAATAGACAATTAAACTCCCCAAGACCCTGTGACAAAGACTCTTTTCTCTGAATTAGATTATGTAGGGGAATGTTTACCCAGGAAAGGTTGGACGGGTACAAACATGGCCACCTCCTCGGCAACTGTGTAACTAACCTCCTAATTACACATGCTGACCCCTCACAACTCCCCACTTGATCCTCTGACAAACCAATTAAATCCTGCATTGATGTATGTCAGGCAATCTTAGAATGGAGCAACTACATCCTGAAAGAATGGAATGTTGTTCAGTCCAGCAACGAATGATCTTGCTGCAATAAGATGGCTCTTCCAATACATGAAAATCTACTAAGGCTGGAAGAAATAACAGGAGTGAGTGACAAGATCAAAATGAAATGAAAGCAAAATTCTACTTTGAAGACAACTGAATCATTACTAGAACTGAGAGTTGTTGAGCTAGTCAGAGTATAAATATACACATTCCACAAAAGCGAGGTAACTTGGGAACTGTGTAGAGAAGTTCTCATTTCAATAATAGACACTGAAAGTGAATGACCAGACCTGTTGTTGCAAATGAAGATATCTGTGTGCTATCAGAGAAGCCGCTCTTTCTCAGCAGACAGCTGATGAAGCTGATCTGATTTCACTAAGTGAGATCAGAAATGAACAACCATCAATCTCAGAGGTCAACCATTCCCAAAGAAATGGTGCAGATCATCAATAACAAATACAATAGCAGCAACACATGCTGTAATAGCAACATTCTCCTGAGAGATGACAGCAGACACGAGATGAAAAATCGACATAAACTTGTATATCTAATGCTTCAAGTATCATGAGTGCGATATGCATATAAGCAGATAAAAATGAAACTGATTAATAAGAACAATAGTTTTCAGATTCAGATGTGATAGCTTTTCTTGATGGGTTTTGTATGTGGAGTAAGCTGCAAATAATAGTGCAGACAAGCTTGTTTTTTTTAATGAATCGGATATTTTTGGAGAAATGCCTTTCGGCACAATGTCTTGCTGTATGAATATGATATCTGGTGCCATCATATGTAAATATAGGTTTAAGGGCTGTGATCATTTTATACACCATATGTAACATTGTTTGAAATTCAAATTGCTCCAATTATTTCTGGAGCAAGATGAGTTTCCTGAAGCTTCTAAAACTGACTGGTGAAATGGAGGTGACTTTGAGCAGCAGATCAGGTGGGGATTTAAATTTATCATTGCCCCATCTAAATAAAACCTCACTTTTTGCAGTAGCTGTCTCAGTTTCCCTGCTAAACCTTTGTCAGAGATTTCTTGTGTGGGAATAGTTTTCTTCATCCTCGGAGGCTTTCAAACTGATAACATTAGCCTTGGATGTGTTTGACAGCAGATCAGAAGAGGAATATGCAGCGTCCAGCACAGAGATACTGTGCAGTGGTGGAATCAGCACATGCACCGGAGAAGAACACAAGAGTGAGGAATAAATGAGGGATTGAGATTGGAGGAACGTACCACGGAGGGAAGGATGGAAGCAATTTCCTCTATTCTTCTCCTCCTCCACCTCCTACTTCTGGTTCCTTCCTCCATTCTCCACATTGATTTGCTTTTGATCCCTCCTTCTTCAATTCTCTCTGTCTTTCCTGCTTTGTCTATCTCTTCCTCTCCAGCCTTTTCAAGATCAGAGTGATAGTGCGTGAACCCTTTTAAATTCTATCATAAACAAAATGAAAGCAGAAACTCTACTCAATTGAGGTAGTAATGTCATTATGATTCTGTTAGACTATTTTAACTATTTTTCTGCTTTATGTGACAAAATTGAAATAAACTATCGTCTGTAGCTTGTAGTTTGTGAAATAATTACCGGTCACGGTATGTAGACTGGCAGAAACTCACAACTCTCATTATGGTCATTTCTGTGGTTGGTATCAGCTTCATGGCTGACGTTTAATAAACCAGTGTTGAAGATCGCAAAGCATCAATTTACTCTTGACATAAATTACATTTAAAATTCCTGGTACAGTCAATTTGAGATGGATTATGGTGAAAAGAAACAAACAGTTAGGCAGAACTGATATACTTGTGTTTGGTGCCTATTTGTTGAGGACTTTTATGAAAACAAACTTCGAAAAACAATTGTGAGACCAACGGAAACAATTATATAATGAAGGGACAATGTGATCCAATTGACTTCATGATCAATGCATTTTGTAAATATCGACAAAATAATTTTGTAAGAGGTGGAATACATTTAAAATTTCTTAGTCTTCATACTTTATAGTAATTAGTTGTTTTTAGTTTCTTAGTTTTTGTAATTGGTGTGCTAATTTTTATTAGTGTCTTGTAGAGGCTTTTGTACTTCAACTCTCAACTATAGGCAGCTCTCTACAATTCCATATGTCAGGAACAGACAAAAGGATGGTTGAGGAAAGGAAGGTAACAATGACCAAACACCAACCCCCCACCCCACACCATCACTACCAAAATGTATCAAGGAGATGGCCTAGACCCTAACTTTTTATTTTATTTAAAGGCAAGTATAAAGTGATGTGTTCCAGATGTGATTCGATTAGTCAAACTACTGGTCTTTAAGCAAAACACGCTTTATTCTTAGACCCAGTTAAAATACAAACAAAAAAAGAAGAATTTACAGAACATTAACTCTATCAAAACACTTAACAAGAGAACATATTATTTAACTACTAATAATCAACTGTTCCAATATAGGTAGCATCCCATAAACACACCCTTGGCAAAGGCAAATTCAGCAAAACAGATTGTCTCATGTGCTATTTCCAATCCAGGAGAGAGCAAACCATTTAGCAACCGAGAAGTAACTCAAGCTTTTAACTGCAGCAGAGAGAGGTGTATTTAGCACCTTCAAACCCCAACTTCAACTGAAAACAAAACTAAAACCCTGGGCCTGTGTAAGCAGTACTGAGAGGTAGAAGAGATCACAGAGATAAGAGGGATGAAGACATGAAGGGATTAGAAAACAAGCTCAAAACCACACAAAAGTCAAACACTGAGCTTTCCCCAAAAGAGTGGGTTGTTCCTCAAGATTTATTTCATGCTCAGTTAGAACTTTCCAAACAACAGAAGTTCCTGAGAGGATGAAAGCAGAATGGTCCATCAGCAATACTCATTGAAGACAATCCCTTAAGATGTCCATTCCACTTGACACCAGGGACTACACCATATTTCACACTTTCACAGGTCTGGCACCAAAAAAATTGTCCAACATTGTTCCAGCCTGGATCAGGACAGTTGTTGACACAGTCTTTCACAACAGGCAATTCCAAATGTGCCTTGGGTGAGGGAGAAGTGCATGGAGAAGACTGATTAATGCTCAATTCAACCCTGTTCAATGTTGTGATGGCCACACTTTTTTGGATGGTTGACTTAAAAATGGGAAAAGCAAGGAACTGTAAAAGAAGCTGTTGAAATTCGGAAAAATGAGTTAGCAGGACTTATCGTAAGTTATATCTACACTGTACCCTTTGTCAAGCAGTGGGAGTGGCTGTGGGTTTGTGTCCAGGAGCAGTTTGCCTTGAGACAGGCTTTTAATTGGTTCTTTGAATCTCTAGGGGGCATATTTTTAAGGTGAGAGGAGAAAGTTTTACAAAGGATATACGGGGCAACTGTTTTTACACAGAGAGTCATTATATGTGGAATGAACTGCCAGAGGAAGTGGTGAATGCAGGTACAGTTACAACATTTAAAAGACATGTGGATAAGTGTAAATAGGAAAGGTTTGGAGGAATATGGGCCAAACACAGGCAAGTAGGACTAGTTCAGTTTGGGAACATGGTTGGTGTGGAATAAAGGGTCTGTTTACATGCTGTATGACTCTATGACTCTAGTTGTGTATGATCAGGAGTACTCAGCATTGTAGCAGTTTGTTGATTAGTTCCTGACCAGGGGCTATAGCTTTGTATTTGGAGAATACAGCAGGAACATTCAGCCTATGAAGGAGAAAGCATCTTTCTTGGCCTCCATTCTGTGAGTGCAGAAGTAAAAGCACGTTCCAAGCAGCTAGCTATTCTCCCTCTCTGCATGTTCCCTTCTTGAAAGGAAAAAGGGGAAACCATCTTCAGGGCGAATCTTCAACCAGTGAATGAAAGGATGAGAATCAGTGTGTCTACCTCCTCTTGTCTTCATCGAAGAGTCAAAAGGGAAGTGAAGGAAAGCATCTCATCACCGCTTGTAATCTGGACTGGTGCCAGAACTGTGCTTCACCTGCTTTTGTTTCTTCTCCACAACCTTTAGTATAAGGGAGTAAAGTCAATATTGTCCAGGAGGACCATATGGCTGCTCTCTAATTAGAGGGAGATGACTGGTGGTTGTTTAAACTGAGGTCACCACATCTCAGGAGAGTGGTGAGTTTGAGACCTTTGTGGTAAACCTCAGCTGGTGTATGAATTGAACCTGTTCTATTGGTGTCTCTCTGCATTGCAAACAAGCTGTCCAGTCAACTGAGCTAAGCACCCTCCTCCCCACCACCGCCCCCCCCCACCAAGCCTCACCTTAATATTTGTGACTTGTCTCTTTGTGACCCTGTTTGTATATTTATGGAAAATTTTTCAAAAGGGTAGAATTGAAGTAATAGTGAATTCTAAGCTAGTCGTTCGTGTTTCATTTCTGCCTTCAGTTTAAAAAAATTGGTTTGAAATAAATAACATTTCCTATTTCGTACAGAAATCTGATGAGTGAATTCTTTTAACCTGGATTTGTCAGTAAAATAAATTTGGAACTTTCGCATATTCAATTGAATCATTTCATGGTTAAGACGAACTCTGGGAATGGTGCAGCTAGATTCCAGTATACTGCCCCAGTGAGTTGTGACAACATTGTGAATGTTCTGATTTCTAAGGAGCAATATTCCCTGGGATCTGTATGGCCATGAAGCCACTGGGAACCACATGTACACTTGGTAATCTTCCGCTATATCTTCCACTTCGATTTAAATACACAATGTGCACAGGACACAGATATCTACGCAGGAAAAAGAAATGGAACCATTGTTCAGGAATGTCATTGATGTCACGTCACAGAGTTTCATTGTAAACCCCACACCTGAAAGATCTCTCCCTTGTGGATTGCCTGGTGGTGCAGAAGACTCCTTGAATCTGTCTGGACTTTCTGTGTCTAGCTTCAGGAAATCAGACACAAAGAACAACTTTGAAGTCTGCAGCTCTAACTTGCTCACACTTTAACTCAAATCAGATTTCATGCTTCCAGTTTACAGGAGAAAAACCATTCTGTACACAGTCTTGGGACTTAACGCCTTAGAAATTGAATCAAATACTGAAATCTTTGAGCACATTCAAGACAGAAATCAATAGATTCATGGATGCTCGAGACAGAAAAAGACTTGGGGATAGTAGGGGAAAATGGCAGAGCTAAATGATCATTTTGATTAATACAGCAGGCACAATGGACTAAATGATTTACTTCTGTTCCTAATTTCTTTGTTCTTATGAAATATTATAAGTCATTGTCAGCTGTGGCTTAAGTTAGTACTCTAATCTCCAAGTGAGAAGGTTGTGGGGGCAAATCTCGCTGCAAAGACTGAAGCTCAGCTCATTCTCCAGTGCAGTAATGACAGAGTGCTGCAATGTCAGAGGAGGCATCGTTTAGATGAGCTAATGCAAAGTCCCATCTGCCCACTCAGATCAATGATACTGTGATGTAGAAAACCAAAGGAGTTATGCATGATCTCTGGCCAACATGGATCCCATTCTGACAATCATAAAAGCAGATTATTAGTCAGTATTGCATTGCAGTTTGTGGGAGCTTGCTGTGCATACATTAACCATGATGTTTTCTCCATTACAACAGCGACCACACTTCAAAAACTACTTTATTGGCTGTAAAGTGTTTGCACACACCCTGTGCAAGTTTATATATATGAATGTGATTTTCCTTCCCAAGGGCAATCTTCATTTCCTGTGAACAGGAAATTTTAAACACATTGATGAGAAAGTATCCCAGTTCACAGTCGTGTTGACAAATTTATTGCGTACAGGACTCTTAAAAGGGTCAAATAGAAACATGTCATCCTGATAGGTAATTTAGGCAAGGAGAAAACATAATTTATTATGGATATAAAGAAGATTTAAAAAAGCAGCAGACAAACAACACAATATTCAACTTACATCAAAAAAACAAAACATTTCAACATAATTCAAGATCTTTCCCAGAATGTGAAATAAATCTTGAAACAGTGTAAAGTGAATATATCACAAAGTTATTACTTTGAGCTATCTTGGGCTGAGGAAATGCAGGTCTGTAGAAACTCACCCCCACTCCCTCCCCATACTCCAGACAGGAGAGTACAAACACTCTCCGTGGTATTAGTCAAACACCTGTCACCTGAAGAGGATCTGTCTATATTTCACATCACCAACTAAAGTAGGGTCTGATTCTATCCCATACCCACTTTTGGGAGCTGGCTCTCTTCATAAACACACACTTACATCAGGGGAAGCTCAGAATACAGCAGACAGAAATAGTCCTTTAGTGGGAGAGTTGAGAACAAGGGGCAGTGCATTAAAATTAGAGTGAGGCTATTCATCAAGATGTCATCAAACACTTCTTCACAAAAAAGGTACTGGAAATCTAGAACTCTGCTCCACAAAATTTAGTTGAGGCTTGGAGCCAAATGAAAATGTCTAAACCACAACAAATAGGTTTATTGTCAAGCATGAGAATTAAAGGTTTATTGAATCAAGACAGGTAAATAGATTTAAGATACAGATTAGCCATGATGGAATTGAATGGTGTAATGGGTCTAAGAGATTATTCCAGTTTCTACATTCCTTAAATTCCTCTCGATTGTCCTCTCCACTCTCAATGCCATCAACAATTGATCAGTGTCATCCTCTTCAACCTCCCACTGAGTTCCCAACTCTGTACCCTGTCCATCACAAAGATCACCTACTTCCCCCTCTGTAACATCAACCATTTCCATCAGCACCCCCAAGCCCCATATTAGTCTATCTACTTTTAAAATTCTCATTCTCGTGTTGTTTCTTCCAGACTAGCGTATATCATTCCAATGTTGCTCTGTCCTGCTTCTATTCTTTCCCCCTCCATAATCTTGAGCACAGCTAAAACTCTGCACTCCCTATCCTAACTCTCACACCTATCACCCCTGTGTTCACTGACCTACAC